TAAGTGTATACCTACAAGTGGAATGGATGAGCCCAGGGTACTTTTTCACAGAAATGGTAATAGTAAAGGACTGGCCAGGCACTGTGGACTCACAACTTTAATCCTAGCTAGTCAGGAGTCTGAGATCTTGAGGATTGAAGTTCAAAACCAGTCCAAACAATAAAGTCCATGAGACTCTTATCTCCAGTTAACCACCAAAAAAGCCAGAAATAGATCTGTACCTCAAGTGGTAGAGTGCTAACCTTGAACACAAAAGCTCAGGGACAGCACCCAAGCTCTGAGTTCAAGCCTCATGAGTGGCATAGACGCACATATACAAAATAGTAAAAGATTGAATGTTGTGTTGGATGGAGGTAGGAAGAATCAAGAAAAAGGTAGCTCACAGTTCATCTTGATTGTATGTAAATAAATGACGTGTATGTATTGAAGCTGCAGGAGTACCAGAACAGGTAACTCCCATGTGCCACTTAAGAGCCTGATCCCACTTTAGCTTCTTTGCTCATTCCAGTTACATGGGGTTGTCTCAGACAGACAGGTTCACCTGCCCATGACAAAGATTTGCAGGCAATGGAGAGAATTAGAGGAATGTGCCAGAGGCTCTGAAGGTAGTTCCTAGAGAAGAGCCCAGGAATGCAGTGAGCTGGGACTGCTGTGCTGGAATCTTTGTGTGACCTCTTGTAGGAGAAAGGGCACAGCCAGCATTTGAGTGCATGTGTTTTGGCATGCTGCTTGAGCAAGCACTTTATAATCTCACCTGCTTGTGATTCTGTCCTCCCCATCGTCTTTACTTTTTTCCTCTTTCCTTCCCCATATATTACTTAAGCTCTTGTTATGTGCCAGACACTGGGTTTAGGTACAATAGCAAACAAGATAGACATGACCCTGTCTTTAAAAATGTTTTATTTGCTATTATAAAGGCAATGTACAGAGGGGTTACAGTTACATAAGTCAGGTAATGAGTACTTTTCTTTTTGGACAATGTCACCCCTTCCCTTGCTCTCTACCAGTTTTTCCCTCCCACCCCTACCCAAAGTTGTATAGTTCATTTTCAGTATAGTGTTTAGCCTGTACCATTGCTGTTCCCTGCCTCTTGAGAACTTCCCATCTCAAACCTTTATCCCCCATAACACCAAACTCAAGGTTAGGTTCAGAGCACACACAACTACCAAGCAGCTGTTTCTGGAAGAAACTGCTTCCAACTCTCAAGTGACACAGAAGCCTGCAGGTTTTACATGGAACACACCAAAGCTCTAATATCCATGACTTAAAGGTTTCATATTCTGGTTGTTCAGCCATTGCTTTGAAAACTCCTTGCTGTCTGCCTTTTCCTACTAAGGGGGACCCTTTTGTTGCCTAGAAGTTGACTGAAAGGAGTAGGTTTGGTAGCTTGCAACAGCTGGCAGTTCTTGCTGCTAGGACACCCCACAAGGAGGGTACTCTGGGTGGTGATGGTAGTGGTAATACTTTCCATTTAAAGAAATGAGCTCCACTTCTTTCAGAATGGCTGCCAACTTCCTCCTGGGATTTCATTTGCAGGTGGCTCCCTTATCTCACCTGTGCCCTTTGGACCTTCTCCTGTCTTGTTACCCAGGTGTCACTTGAGGGTTGGTGGCAACCACATGGTTCAGCTTGCCAGTTGTCCTTAATGATTTATTGGCGATGGCTGGGCCATGTGTGCCCCCAGATGGCACTGTTGAATTGTGGAAGCTGGTAGGACTGCTTGTTGTCCAGGTGTGACTAAGGTAATGATGTGCTACCTACTGAGCAAACCAGAGGGTTAAGGGATCTGGGTGCCAGCAGCTCATGCCTGGGATCCTAGCTACTCAGCAGGCTGAGATCTGAGGATCACAGGTCAAATCCAGCCTAGATAGGAAAGTCTGTGAGATTTATCTCCACTTAACTACCAAAAAATATGCCAGAAGTGACGCTGTAGCTCAATTGGTAGACATTAACCTTGAGCAAAAAGAAGCCCAGGGACAGTGCCCAGAGCCTGAATTCAAGCCCCAGGACTGACACACACAAAAAAAGGTTAACGGTGACCTATAGTCTTTGTTTAGATCTAAACACCAAAGGTAACTTTTTAAAATTTGTTTCAGCCAGGCACTTGTAGTTCACGCCTCTTATCCTAGCTACTCAGGATGTTGAGATCTGACAATCGAGGTTCAAAGCCAGCCAGGGCAGGAAAGTCTCTGAGCCTCTTATCTCCAATAAACTACTCAGAAAAAGCCAAAGTGGATCTGTGGCTCAAGTAATATAGTGTTAGCCTTGAGCACAAAAGCTCAAGGGCAGGCCCAGGCCCTGAGTTCAAGCCCCAGATCAAGCATAGTAAAAGTTGTTTTCTTGTGATAAAATACATGGAAGACAAAATGTGTTATTTTAGCCACTTTATACACTTAGATAAACTTCATAATGTTAAGTTCTTACCCGCATCTGGCTTCAGTTTTCTATCATTCTAACTCATTCTATCACTCCATCCTTTTTAGCAGTCTGTTCTTTACTCTTTCTCCCAGCCCCTCAAAGCCATCTATCTGCTTTCCATCTCTATGAATTTGCCTATTCTGGACATTTCATATAAATAGAATCATAATGTGGTCTCTGTGACTGGCTTCCTTTACTTGGCATCGTGTTTTCAAGGTTCATCCATGTCACGGCATTTTAGCATTCTGGTTTTGTGTGTGTGTGTGTGTGATTTCTTTCATCTAAGCATCTAGGTCCTAGCATGTACCAATATGTCATCTCTTTTCATGGATGTATAATATTTGATTGCATTGTTGTTTTTTATTTGTTCATCCTTTGATGGAGGACTGTTTTTAGTTTTTGACCATCATGAGTTGGAGCTACTATGAACTTTTGTGTCTAAGTCTTTTACTTGAATGCTTGTCTTCATTTCTTTTGGGTATAAACTTTCAAGTAGAGCAGCCTATCCTCAAATTTATGATCTTCCTTCCTCAGCCTCACTAGTGCTGGGATTACAGTCATATGCTACCACTTTTAGGTTGCTTTGGGTGTGTGTGCGTGTGCGTGTGCGTGTGCGTGCGTGTGTGTGTGTGTGTGTGTGTGTGTGTGTGTGTGTGAGATTTACTAACCTCAAACTCACAATCCTTCTACCTCAGCCTTTTGAGTGCTGGAATTCCAGATACATGCTACCATGCCCAGCTTCACTTTTTATTTTTCTACTTCATTTTTTCTTTACTTTTTTGAGATAACATCTGTTTGTACTATATCAGAATTTCACCGTGATATTTCCACATATGCACACAGTGTGCTTAGAACAAATTTCTGCCCTCTATCATACAATCTTTGCTCCCTTCCCTCCTCTACCCACAGCTTTATTTTTTTATTTTTATCTTTTTGAAACTGGGAATTAAACTCAGGACCGTGCATGTACTAAGCATGTACATTGAGCTCCATCTTCAGCTTCTTAGCTAACTTTAATGTGGAAAGGTCAATAACTGGATATATTAAGTTTGGGACTTGCAGGAACTCAAATCCTGGGATGGGGCCAGGATTCTATTTGTAGAGGAATTCCCTAGGCCATTTGAGGAAGGGGGTCCCAAAACTACATGCCTTGGAACTGATGTGTAAAAGAGAAAAGAGGCTGGGTGAGATGTGGAGCCCACACATGTCCAGGCTCCCTCCAGCCAACTGTTGACATGCAGGAATGCAGAGCTCTATTGGAAGATCTTCTGAATTTTTTCTTCATGAAAAGTTTGGACATTCTGATTTTAAGTGAATCCACCAGTTTTAAAATGATGGGGTACTGGGTGCTGGTGGCTCACACCTGTAATTCTAGCTACTCCTAGGAGGCTGAGATCTGAGGATCATGGTTCAAAGCCAGACTAGGCATTGAGACTCTTCTAATTAACCACTAGAAAACTAGAAGTGGCACTGTGGCTCCGACAGCACCTGGCCTGGAATTCAAGCCCCATGACTAAAATTAATTGTGTGTGGAGTGTGTGTGTGTGTGTGTATGAGAGAGAGAGAGAGAGAGAAAGAGAGAGAGAGAGAGAGAGAGAGAGAGAGAGAGAGAGAGAGAGAGAGAGAGAGATTGTGTGTCCTGGGGCTTGAACTCAGGTCCTGGGTGTTGTTCCTGAACTTCTGTGCTTCACTAGAACTCTACCACTTGAGCCACAGCTCTCCTTCCAGCATTTTGATAATTAATTGGAGGTAAAAAAGTCTCACAGACTTTCCTGCCCATACTGGCTTTGAACCATGACCCTCAGATCTCAATCTCCTGAGTAGCTAGGGTTATAGAGAAGAGCCACCAGCTCCTGTCAAGAATCTTTTCCTTTGTTTTTTTTCTGCCCTGTCCATCATGAGGCTTGAACTCAGGGCCTAGGTGCTGTCTCTGAGCTTTTTCCACTCAAGGCTAGCGCTCTTCTACTTTGAGCCAAAGTGGTTTTCTGGTGGTTAAGGCGATAAGAGTCTCACAGGCTTTCCTCCCCAGGCTGGCTTCAAACCACAATCCTCAGATCTCAGCTTCCTGAGTAGTTAGGATTATAGGCATGATCACCGGTGCCCAGCTAAGAATCTTTTTCTTTTTTTGGGGGGGGGGGTCCGGTAGTGGGGCCTGAACTCTGGGTCTGGGCACTGTCCCTCAGCTCTTCAGCTCAAGGCTAGCCCTCTACCACTTGAGCCACAGTGTCACTTCCGGCTTTTTTCTTTTTTGCTTATGTGGTGCTGAGGAATCGAACCCAGGACCTCAGGCATGCAAGGCAAGCGCTCTACCACTGAGCCACCTTCCCAGCCCTAAGAATCTTTTTTCTTTTATTGGGCTAGATTCCAGGTAGTCAGTTGGCTTAGATTAGGCTCCTGGCTGGTGGTTTGCAATTTCTGGACTGGGAGCAGGAAGTAGCTCTCTTTCTGGTCACTTCTGGCTCCTTGTGCTGTCTTTCCTTCTTCCTTCCATTCATTCCCTCAGCCCCATATGCACTGACATTCCATCACATTCCCTCTTCAGCCTATCTGCTTAGGGTTACCACCTTCTCTTCTTTTTTCAGATCACCTGTCTGATCTTCAGGGCCGAGCCGAGGGTGATCCTGGTGTGTCCTGGGATTTTTACAGCAGTTCTGTGCTGGGTAAGTTCTAAGTGTGAAGAATCCCATTCAGGGATTGGGGGCTGGGGGCTGGTTTGGGTCTCATTAATTCTTCTCAAAGGTATCTGTAACCCTGCAGAAGTAGCTATCTCTCTTTGTCAGTAGCTTACAGGCTCTTTCATACTGAGCCCTAACTTTCCCTGAGATTCAGACCTCACTCACCTGAATCAGGAGGAGATCACATACTGATGAGGATAAAGTCATCCTTCCCTATCCCTCTACAACTCCTCATCTTGGGTCCTTCATAAACTCTCTCTCCTAAGATCTTCTTCCTGTCTCTTGCTTACTGTTAATCCCTCCAGAAGCCCCTACGAGCACTTAAGAAGAACTCACCTCCTTGTGTAACAGCTTTAGTTCTCTCCCTCCCTTGCTCCCATGTGATACACCTGGTTTCTGAAATAGCTAGTCCTCAGGCCTAAGCTTTTTCCTCTCTCGGGAGAGTCAGCATACCTTTTTTCTGTGGTAGTTGTCCAACGGGTCAAAGGCCAAAGATTAAAGGACCTAAGCATCCCTAATCTGAGTTAGAAACTCAACAGGCCACTCCCAAGTACAGGCCTGAGGAAGTAAACCACCTGAGTCTCTGGAATTCAGGAGCTGGCAGTGAGGCACCTTTAGAAATCTGTAGCCAGATAAGGGTGGGTGTTTTCACCTTGCCCTTGACTACTGATCAGGTTTCTGTCTCCTGCAGCTGAACGGGTTATCCTTTGCATCACCAGGCTTTTTCTCATTGGAGGGTAAGGGAATATAATGAATCTCTGGCCACAAACTATTTTTCATTGTAGGACTAAAACTTTCTTGTGTCCTCTCAAAGATGTGAGCCACTGGGGTCAACCAGTCTTGACCTCACCTTCAGACCTGTGACCTGCTCATTTTTCTCTTAAGCAGCTCCCTAAAAAAGTTCCATTATCTAGTTTTAGAGCATTTCTTTTCCCTTAATTTGTGCCTGTATCTATGTCCTAATCCCGTGTGTACCTGCCTTCCAGAGAAAAAAGATGGGTTTGCCTGTGACCTCCTGAATAATCCTCCTGGGAGCTCTGAGCAAGGAGAAGAGGTGGAAGAGGATGACTTCATGTTTGAACTTTCAGACAAACCTCTTCTTCCTTGTTACAATCTTCAAGTGTCAGTGTCCCGAGGGTAAGTGTGTGTGAGGTCTACAGGGAACACGTACCGGGATCCTAGCAACTACTGGCCAGCCTCCCAGGCATGGTGAAGCTCTCCAGGAGAGGGCCCAAGTAAATGAGTGCTAGAGCATAGGAAAGATAGCACTTGACAAAGCTAGCTTGATCTTGTAGCAGATGGAGCGGAACTTACCACTCAAACTAGAGGTACATAGACCTCTAGATCTGTACTGTATCTCTCCATTGTATGCAATTCCTAAGCCCCAAATCTAGTTTTACCCTCTGCAAGTTTTGTTTACTGTTAAGTGTGTATAAGAGATAATCTGGGAGATATTTCAACGGTTGAACTATTAGAATCTCTGGAACATTTTTGTGGTTTCTGGAAAGAGCCAGACAGAATATTTGCAATTGAGATTCTGGGAAAAAACCAGGACATATGGTTGCCATAGCTGTAGAGCCACTAGGGTCCTTAAGCAATTCACAACCCCATTTCTCATAGCCTTAATGTTGGCCAGGTGATCAGCACTCTAGCTCAGATGACTGTGCAGATGATAATGGGGATCACCCATTTTCAGAGAACAGAGTATCCTTGACACTTAGTCTTCAACTGAGTCCAACTTACAATTATTTTATGACTCAGAAAAAAGTTTGATAGCCTGTGGGGCCGTAGATTTTGTTGCATTTCCCTTTGTATCAGCTTGGGAAAGTGCTGAGTAGGAGAATGAAAAGTCAGGGTCATTTGTCCTTTTCTTCTTAGCCTCCATCATCAGGTAGTTTCTAAATAGCATTACAAACAAGGTCAAGGATAATTTTTCCTTGGTATCAATTTTTAAAATATAGATCCTATTTTGAAATACAGCAAATGAAGCTGGACACCAGTGGTGGCTCACACCTGTAATCTTAGCTACTCAAGAGCTAAGATCTGAGAATCATGGTTCAAAGCCAACCTAGGGAGGAAAAGTCTGTGAGCCCTATCTCCAATTAATCACCAAAAAGCCAGAAGTGGAACTGTGGCTCAAGTGGTAAAATGGTAGCCTTGGATAAAATAGCTCAAGAGACAGCATCCAGACCCTGAATTCAGGCCCTAGGACTAGCACATGCGTGCGTGCACACACACACACACTAAAAAAAAAAAAGAAAAGCAGCAAATTAGCATGTTTACACAATATGGGGACCTGAGTGAGTGATGGACCGGGTTGCATCACACTCATCTCTAGACCCCAGTTTCTTTGCATCCCTTCCCCCACAGCCTGATAAGAATTTTTAAAAGCCTATATGATGACACCAGTGGGGCTCAAGTTTCAGGGGGTTTTGGTCCTTATTCTTCTGGGCAGAAGCTGATCCCTGAGGGTGGGGTCAGGCCTCTAGGATATAGTATTGCACAGTTAATTAATTCCTCCAAAGCATTCAGTACCTCCTACTCTGAAACAAGATCTTGGGCCACAGGCAGTAAAAGGACCAGGTTGTCTGCTTCAGGTGCAGACAAGATCATGGGCGACCAAGCATATTACCAGCTAAGAACTGGGTACTGTCAGGACTGGCTTCCTCATGTGGCATCCTCCAGCACTTGTTCTGAAACTACCCTTTTCCACAGCTACAGCACACTGTGAATGTTTGGGGGTCTTTAAGAAGTAGTGAGTGGTGCATACCTGTAATCCATGCTCTATGGAGGCTGAGAGTTGGAGGCCAGCCTGAGCTATATAGTGAGACCCTGCTCCGAAAAAGAGAAACTATAGGGAGTAGTGACTCTGAGATCCTATAGGTTTCAGAAGCACTTTCTCAATCATCTAAACATGACTAGATTCTAGGTACCAACAGATATATTCTGAAGAGTTTGCCCCATTTTTAAAAAGTGGTAGTACAAGGTCAAGGATAATTTTTCTTTGGTATCAATTTTTAAAATATAGATCCTATTTTGAAAAACAGCAAATGAAGCTGGACACCAGTGGTGGCTCACACCTGTAATCTTAGCTACTAAGGAGCTAAGATCTCTTAATCTAAAACACTCCACTCCTAATGTGTGACTTGACAGTTGACCATTTTGTTGAAGAAATGTTGAATTTACAACATAGGGATTGTGGGTCAGGGTCTGGCTAGACATGCTATCATGATGTTTAGCCAATACCGTTTTTTGTTTGTTTTTGTGGTTGTTGTTTGTTTGTTTGTTTTTCCAGTTATGGGACTTGAACTCTGTGCCTGGGCTCTGTCCCTCAGCTCTTCAGCTCAAAGCTAGCACTCTAACACTTGAGCCACAGCACCACTTCCAGATTTCTGGTGGTTAATTAGAGATAAGAGTTTCACGGACTTTCCTGCCTGGGTTGGCTTTGAACTGCCATCCTCAGATCTCAGCCTCCTGAGTAGCTAGGATTATAGGTGTGAGCCACCGGTGCCCAGCTCCAATACCATTTTTGTTTTTTGTTTTTTTTTTTCTTTTTTGCATGTTGCTGGGAGTTGAACCAAAGGCCTCAAACTAGGCAAGCTACCTCCTGAGCCTACGTAGATGGTTTTTTGTTTGTTTTTTTTTTGGTGCTGGTATTTGGGTTTAAACTCAGAACCTTGCATCTTGCTTGACTTTGTCATTTAAGGTGGGTGCTCTTACACCTGAGACATACTTCACTTATTTTTTTATTTTAGTTTATTGTTACTATAAAAGTGATGTACAGAGATGTTACAGTTACATAAGCCAGGTAATGAGTACTGTACATTTCTTTTTGAACAATGTCACCCCTTTCCTTGCTCTCTCCCAGTTTTTCCCTCCCATTCCTACCCAGAAGTTGTATAGTTCATTTGAAACATAATATCCAGTAAGACCACTGCTGCATTTGTTCACCCTTAGTCCCTCCATTTCTGTACCTCCCCTTACCGAGTTCTATTTTTTAAATGATTTTTGTTGTTGTTGGTCGTGGGGCTTGAACTCTTGCTCAAGGCTAGCTCTCTAATCACTTTGAGCCACAATGCCACTTCCAGTTTTCTGGTGGTTCATTGGAGATAAGATTCTCATGGACTTTTCTGTCCTGGCTGGCTTTGAACCATAATCCTCAGATCTCAGCCACCTAGTAGCTAGGATTACAGGCATGATGACTAGGATGCCTGGCTTAAATGATTTTTTTAAATTGGCACACATTAGTTGTACATGGGGAAGGGGTTACAGCTTAGGGTAAAGAGGTCAAACAGGGTTATTTAGGGAAGATTTTACTTAATATTGTGCTAAGGAATTAGAGTTGGGTATGGTGGTGCATGCCTATAATTTTAGTACTTGAGAAGCTGAGGCAGAAAGATCAGAGTTCTAGTCTGGCCTAGGCTACATAGTGATACCTTTTCAAGAAAATAAAAGAATCCAGAGTTACTTCCTAGAGGTACTAGAGATCCATTGAAAACTGTTCAGTGGGGGACTAAAGGGTCAGATTTTCTTGTTAGAACACTACTTGTAACTGAGGATCCTACAAGGATGAGTTGGGTACAGAAGGGTGACTATTGGCAAAGGGAAGCCAGTTGGGGTCTGACAGTGTCTTCTAGGCCAGAAGTGGCCACAGCTGGAACTGACACCGTAGAATGGCAGGAGAAAGAGAGAGAGAGAGCCCTGTAAACCACTAACACGAGGGTGCAGTGTTTCTTCCTGTTTAGTCAGTGTGTTTGGCCAGCACCCCACCCAGCTGTCCCCAGGCTGCCGCCCAGTCGGGTGTGCTCTACAAGGGCAGACTGGCTGTAATGTGAGCCCTGGGCCTGCAGAAACAACGGTGCTAATACATTCCAGAGCCAAGGAGAAATGCCTTTTGGATTACCCACAGTTTAGGCCTTTCTCCATGGCTCTCCCTCTGCTGGGGAAAATCTAGGAGAACAAGGAGGCAGGGGGAAGCAGGAGTGAGAACAGGAAAGGGAAACTAGATGGGGTTTGTAGGAGTTGGGAGCTGAGGAGAAAATAAGTCCTAAGGACACAGGGATACAGGTTAAGCCATGGTACAATTTGCTAAGGGTTTCAGTCCTGGAATGGCAATTTCTTACCCGCTTCTTGTTGTTGTTGTTTTAATAGAAGAACTGGTAAGTGCCCACTGATGTTCAGCTAGAAGCTGGGCCAGGCATTGTAGGGTACAAGAGAAAACACTTGCCTCAAGAGTTTGTGGTTTTAGGGGGCAGTGAGTCTCAGTAAAAGAAAGAGCCAGCTTCTAGTGCACCCAAGTTTCTGTTCCCCAGCCCAACCTCCCATCCTTGCTTCCTTAACTTCTTTTCTTTTTTTCATTCTTTTTTTTTTTTTTGCTGATCCTGGGACTTGAACTCAGGGCCTGGGTGCTGTCACTGAGCAGTTTGTAGTCAAGGCTAGTGTTCTTCCACTTGAGCCACAGCTCCATTTCTGGCTTTTTAATGATTCACGGGACATAGAGTCTCACAGCATTTCCTGCCCAGACTGGCTTCGAACCACAATCCTCAGATTTTAGCCTCTTGAGCATCCAGAATTACAGGTATGCTTTCCTAATTTCTGTACTTGCCTTTTCAGGCCCTGCAACTGGTTCCTCTTCACCGATGTCCTGAAGAGGCTGAAGCTTTCCTCCAGGATCTTTCAGGCCCGGTTCCCACACTTGGAAATCACCACCCTGCCCAAAGCTGAGTTCCACAGGCAGGTGGCCTCCAGTCAGCTGCTGACCCCTGCCGAGAGGCCCGGAGGCCTGGAGGACAGGTCTCCCCCAGGCTCCTCTGAGACTGTGGAGCTGGTGCGCTATGAGCCTGAGCTGCTGCGGCTCCTAGGGTCTGAGGTGGAATTCCAGTCTTGGAACAGTTGACGGGGAAACAGCTTCCCCCCTGTTCTTCTTTCTCCTCCTGGGTTCACCCTTCCCTCACCTCCCATGTCTTCCTCCACCGAGCACCAGACTGCAGAATGAGGCAATAATATGGACCAACAAGAAGCCGCCTTATCAATGCCAGCATTAGTGACTGGATTTTTTTTTGTTTGGTTTGGTTTGTTTTATTTTTGTTGTTGTTACAGTTAGTTCTCATCTCCCTGTCATCATCATTGTTGTTGTGGTTGGTGATGGGAGTGGAAAGTTGAACTCCACATCTGAAGACAAGAGATCCAGGGATGGTGACAGGTGGCGCCAGGACCCCTTGGACTGGTCCCTCTGCTTATGACCAAGACCAATGTTGGGCCTGGTGGCCACAGCTTGTCCTGAAGAGAAATAAGAAAAGCCCAAATCTCTAAGCGCCCTCCCTCCATCCCCCTGTGCTCTTCTGTCTTCCATAGTATTTATTTTATTAGTATTTAATTTGTATTGTTTCATTGGTTTCTGATAAGTCTGTATCACTGTGACAATTTGAGACAACTTGTTGTATTGAGGGACTTTCTTTACCTCCTTTCTTTCTTCCTGGATAAGCTTTGGGCTGCTCCCTTCCTCTGACAGTTATTTCGACTCTTGGTTTCCCACCATTGGGGAAGGGTAGAGGACATTAGTGTGAGTAAACAAGCTGGCTGCTGCTGACACAGAGCTGGGGGGACTGGGGGTAAATCCTGAGGCTTTGGTGCTCCCCCTCCCCTGCCAGATTTTCTTCTTCCTCCACTTTGCAACAGCCCTGCCATCTTGAGATTAGTGTTTACTAGTGAGAGGAGAATTGTGGGGTGAGGGGTTCCTGAATTACTCTAAGAAAAGGAGAGTTTTGAGACTAGGACTCGGGGGATGAAGGTGCCTCCCTTGCTTTCTTCCCTGCACCCCTCAGAGTGCACAATGTGGGTTTATTCTTGAATCTTTTGCCTTGCAGCACCCTAACCCTGATGTCCCATCCTCCACACACTGAGCCTCTCCCCTCCCAGCCCTCATCCCCATCTTTACCCCCTTCCCAGACTCACAGCACCTCTTTTTTCTCCCTCCTTTATCTCTGTCCCCGCCCCCCCCCCCCATTCTCCTCTGAAATCTGTAGAGGGCTCGAAGATTGACTGCCAGATGTGTGATCGGGCACCACCTGTTTCTGAGGTGATGAGGGCAGGACACCAATCTCCAGCCTGGGCGCCATTGCTGGGGTCCTAGGACTAAGTGTGTGCCCTCCAGGCCTCCCTGTGGATCTCTAGGCCTCCAATGTTGGATCTGCTCTGCAACAGAGGAAGGGAGGGAGGAGGAGGATGTCCCTGCTCCCTCTGTGCTATTGTCTTTCCCACTCTTGTTCTTATTTTTCTACCGATTGCTATTTTTCCGAACAATCCTTGTAGAGAGTGTGTACCATCCAAAGGCAAGAGGGCCTCACTGTGGCTGGCTCTGGTTGGAGATGGTACATTTTTATTGTACAGGTGCTAAACAACAACAACAAAAGAAGAAAATGGAAAAAAAAAAAGACAAAAAAAAAGGAAAAAAAAAGCCAGTTTGAGGATGGGACAATCTGTTCTCTGGAAGTTCCTGACCTATTCAGGAGCATTGATGGTTATTTTCTTTGTATTGTGTTCTTTGTTCCTGGGGGAATTTTTGGGCCCCCTTCTGTAGGACAACTCCCCAGCCCCATCATCCTGCCCAGTTGATTTTGAACAATTGTTCTCCCTTTCTAACAAAAACAAATTATATATATGCATATGTATGAGTATATATGTGTATATATAAAGTTGAGGGGTTTTGGATTTCAATTTTTTAGTTTTGTTGGGGTTCATGATATTGTGTGGTTTATTTTATGTTTTATGTTTGCCTTTACTTTTTTGCATTTGGGTGTGTATTCTGGCTGCCCTTTTATGTTTCATTAAGCAACTGGCTGTGGAGTCAAAAAAACACTTGCATACTGAATAACCTGTGTCAGGGCCTTTGTCTCTGGTCTCTCTTCTTGCTTATCTTCTTCATGGCTTTTTGAGCCTTAAGAAAGATGGGCATCTGCGTTCGGTAAACAAGGGACTCTCATTCCTGCTTGTTAGTTATGGTCCCTAAGGGTGCAGTGGGTGAAGGCATAGTGGTGTGACTCATAAACATTTGGGTCACTGGGTCATGATGTGGAAAGACAAGGAAAGGCAGAGACAAATCCCAAGGGCTTGGCGGATGGGGAAAATTGAATGTATGACTTACGTTGCTTTGCTGTGAAGGTATGTACCAAGAGAATTCCTTGTTTGTTATAGGAGTAGCAGGACTAGGGGAGGTGCCCTTTGTGGTAACAGTGAGGAAACATCCCAAAGAAATCATCTGCCTGCCCTGGACTACCTACCGGCTATGCTGTGGGATCCTAGCCCTGCCCTCACCCTGGCCATTGTGCCAATGCTTTCCCTGCCCACCTGCCCAGTGCTGGCCTTTCACAGTTTAGTCCTTCAGGACCCAGCCACTCTGAAGACAGGACATTCAGCCTAGATTTTATAGATCTTCCTTCCACTTTGGGAAGTGGGAGGAAAGTGGTGATTCTCATTACAGGCTCCAGAATGTGTCCCTTACTTGCTGAGGAAAAGGGGATATTGAAAGTCTGAGGCTGAAGCATACCTCCCTTCCTCCTCCTGTCTTTTTTGAGACTGAATCTTGCTGTGAAATTCAGGCTGATCTAGTTTGAGAAATCTTGGTCCTTCTGCTTGAGCCTCCAAGTGCTGAGATTATAGGTGTGTACCTCCATGCCTGGCCTAATTTAGGCTTATATCTAGGAGGTCTGTTTGGCTAGCTGACAGGAATCCAGCCATCCCAGGAGTGAACTGTGACCTGGTCTCCTTGCTCCAGCCTCAGAAGCTTCCTTAAACTTGCATCATTCTCTCCAGATTATAAGGATATCATGCATTTGAACCCCAACATTATTTGTATTTACTGGCCTTCTCTTTCACACTTTCTGATCCCAAGGTAATCACAAGCTACCCCATAGTAGTTCTGACCTTTGTTGGTCCTATCTGGAACATACAGGTAAGAAATTAGACATGCTGGGTGCTGGTGGCTCACGCCTGTAATCCTAGCTACTCAGGAGGCTGAGATCTGAGGGTTGAGGTTCAAAGCCAGCCCAGGCAGGAAAGGCCCTGAGACTCATCTCCAATAAACCACTCAAAAAAAAAAAAAAGGAACTAGCACTGTGGCTCAAGTGGTAGAGTACTAGCTTTGAGCTGAAGAGCTGAGGGACATGGCCCAGACCCAAAGTTCAAGCCCACAACTGACAAATAAAAAAGTCAGACATGTCAGATCACAAAAGGCCACGTGGTAAATGTAAGGATTCACCCAGGCCCAGAATGCCATGAGAGCTCAAAGAGCTGGAAAAGGGCATCTGGGTGGCTGGGGAGAAAGAATGGGAGAGATAATGCCTAATGAATAATTAAGCATAAAACTAGGTCTTAAGAGTTGACAGGGAATGTTTAAACTGGGGACAAGTTTAAACAAGCTGAGCCAAGGCTTGAAGACCAAAAAAGGAGGAGAATAGAAAGCAGAACCAAATAGAAGTTTCTTGTTTTCATGCTTCCGGGTTCCTTTACCTTCATCTTACCCAATGACCTGCCTTTCTGCTGGAATGGAAGGATTGAGGAGGTAAGAACTGATCCTAGATCTACATTCCTGCCTGTAGCCTCTGATTAGTGACCTATTGATGGTGTCCCAATGTTTCCAGTGTGGTGCCAGAAAGACCCAGCACCACCACTGTGTTACCCCACCATGGATGAGTACCTTATCTTTTAGAGCTTTATTGTTCCTTGCCAGTTTAGCAACCTGTTGATAGGTGACAATCATACTGAGGATGAAATAAGGCTGTTTAGGTGTTCTTAGTTCCTCTTTGTCACTCATCCATCTACAGTTAAGGACGATCTTCACAGTAGAGTGCAGGTCTGCAAGAGCTCCTGCTCATGTCGCTAGTCCTGGAGTGGGGATCATGTCGGGATGCCTGTATGATGTGTGGTAGATGAGAGGTGGATTGAGCAGTAAATTGGTAACTGGGAAGTGAACATTTGCGGGGGCTTGGATGTGTGTTTTGGGAAAAATGGGAAGGGTGGACATGTCTGCCCAAAGGTATCCTCCATTTGCTAAAGAGAGACCTGAAGTCCTTGAGCCGACTGGCTTGAGCATCTGAGTTTCCACAGAGAGCAAGGTTAACCACTGCAGTGTCCAGCCGCTGCGAGCTGCGAGCTGCGAGCTGTGAGCAATGCCTCCTGGGCCCTGCGCAGCCCTTCCTGGCACGTGCTGCTGACAAGTGCATATCACCGTGCCTCCGGTTTCAAACAGGAAAACAGCAGCGCTAAAGGTAGGCCCGAATGAAGAGTGGACCAGACTCGGAGCCAGCTAGCCCCTAGTCTGAGACAAGTTTCTTCTGGTCTGCTGGTGGGCTCTGGACAGAGCTGAAGGCCTGGCCTGCAACGTGCTCACCTGCTGGTCTCAGAAGGCGGGAGAGGTGGTGGGGGCGGGGGGGAGGATCCAAGGGGCGGAGTGAAAGCACGACTGGCCAATGGGGAAAAGGCGTTTCCGTGGATTGCTAAATTCTCCCCCCAGAAAGCAAAGGGGGGCGACAGACAAGGGGAAAGTTCTAAGCTTTGGAGCAATAGGGGGCTGGCCGGGGTGGGAGAAACGTCCAGGGTCCGTGACAGAAGAGGCCCGCCCGGGGCGGGGGAGAGGGTGGGGAGCGGTACGCCCCGCCCTAGGAGCTTCGCCCGGGTTCCGCCTAGTTGCCTGTCCGCCATTGCTGGCTCGAGAGCGTCACCTGCTGGACATTGACCACATCCAGCATGTCAAAGGCCCAAACTGGAAGGAATGATTCTCATCCCAGGCCCCACCACTTGGGAGCCAAAGGCAACTTCCTTCTTTCAGAATACACGTGAGGGAATCAGGTTTGCGACCATGAGAATAACTTCTTGTCCCATGCAGCCCACCAGCGTTGACATTCCCACTTCAGTAGCACTCAGAGATGAGGAAATACTAGTGAGGCAGTTCCTAGAAGGAAGCAATGGCAAAAGGAAGGAATTCAAGAGTAGCCAGTGGCCTCTGGTGGTAGCAGAGCATAACTGGAAGCAATCTTGGGCTCCTTGTGAACCCTGTGGCCCAGGGGTAGCTGCATAGTGTTATATGAAGAGTCCAAAAGCTGTGTAAGCTCCCCAGTACTGATTGGCCTTCTCCCTCTCCTCGTGCCTGCCCTTAGATAGAGAATAAGTCCCCATAATTGGAATCAGGACTCATTCTTCCTTTCAATAAATATTTATTGAGCACCTACTGTGTGTCAGGCACTGTGCCAGGCAGGGATGCATCAGTGATTAACGCACACTTCCTGTCCTTGACGAGCTCACAGTCCGTTGCAGGAGAAACATACAGAAAGACAGTTAAGGAACTACAATGTGCTGCATGCTGACATAGGAGATAAATACAAAGTGCTGCGGGAGCCCAGAAGAGAGAGTAACATATCGGCTGCTAGGAGAGATTTATGCTTCACTCTGACTGATTTAAACCATTGCAAAAGCAAATATGTTGTTGCTATGTGTGCCTGGTAAAAGCAAACCTGTCTCTTAATGTTCTCCCACCCTCTCCCATAACTATTTCGGCACAGGTGACTTTATCGGGTTACCTAGTTTAATAACTGTGAGTAGGAACTGGTCAGGGAAGTTCATCTAGAAGCAGAGGATGTTCAAAGCATTAACAAATCTTCGGTGCTAAAATGGAGGTTGAGGTGGGGGGGGGTGCCATGAGGACACTGAACGAAGGGAGGACAGGCCCTGGACAGTGGAACACCTAGTGAATTGTGTCTGTGCAAAGGAGAAGTCAGAGATCACCTACCTCAATGTTTGGTTCCCATCTCCCACCACCTCGATCAGAGCCACTCATGGGTGCTCCTCTGATTGGCAGTGTGACCTACTCAGTGGGAATAGTCCCCACTGTCCCTCAGAAAGCAGCACACTGATTAGAGACTAAATGGGCACCGGCTACTGAATGTATAAGTAACCTTGTAATACTGATAAACATGTCACAGGCCTTTCATGTCCATAGAGTGGCAATTACAATGAGTTTAAAGAGCTCAAGTTGGTTGCTGGTGGCTCACGCCTGTAATCCTAGCTACTCAGGAGGCTGAGATCTGAGGATCATGGTTTGAAGCCAGCCTCATCAGGAAAAGTCCATGAGACTTGTCTCCAATTTACCACCAGAAAACCAAAAGTGGCGCTGTGACTCAAAGTAGCAGAGCACTAGCCTTAAGTGAAAAAAGCTCAGGGACAGAGCCTAGGCCCTGAGTTCAAGCCCTATGACTGACAAAAAAAAAAGAACTGAAGGAGAGGCTTTGTGGGAGGCAGCTTGCATGAACTGAGTCTGGAAACACAGATACAACTTTTCATTGGTATTAGGAGGATACAAACAGCATTTGAGTTGAGTAGAATCCAGTAAAGGAAAAAGTATAGGTGGGAACTTTTCAATAGAGGCATATTCAAAGGCCAGCAAATCCATCTGTTTGGAGCAGTACACTGTGTGGTATAGACCACAGTATGAGTGGGCTGGGGGGTAACAGCTATTATCCAGTGGGGAAGGGCCAAGGATTTGACGTCTTGTGTGACGAAGAGGGCTGATTCCTGGAATTGCTACCTTGAGCCATCCTTCCTGCAGAACTGCTGCAGAACCTCATGATTGAGCAACTAAAGGGCTAATGCTGGGCCTCTAGACGGGATTGGAGGATGTGTTCAACACTCTTTTCCTGTAGGCCAACAGGAATTGCTGAAGGCTCTTTAGCAGCTGCTCTGACAAAGGGAAGGTAATGGGACAGATCACACTGATGTGTCCACGAAGGTGAGAGCTCTGGATACAATGAGCTAGCTAGGTAGGAGCTTTTGTGCATATGGAACACGGACCACATTTTAAAGGCATTGGAACCTCACTGGACTTCAGAGGATGGGG